ACACACACACACACACACACACACACACACACACACACACACACACAGACCCAGGTAAAGAGGAGCTTCTGACAGAGCAGCAGCCAGAACGGGACAGCTGCGCTCATCAGATAGCACAGGTCACTGCCTCATTAACACTCACAAATACACTCAAATGTGACAAATTCAAATCAGACGGCGAAGAGCCCACGCCGCTCTTCAGTCTACCTGATAACGCAGGTCACGTTTTGGACTAAATTTCTTGGGACTAACTTCAGCGTGTACGGGCTCTCCTTCAGCGTGGACCGGCTTTAAATCTACACGCGGATCGGAGAGCAAACAAACACTTTACCCTCGCGATGCAATGCACACACACACACACATGCATGCAGCTCAGGCCGGACAGTAAATCTATGGGGGCTTTCTTTTTCCCCCCGCCTGCCTTTAAATCACACAAGCCCCTGCATCGCTCAGAGGTTGTTTATGACAGCGGGAGAAAGGCATACTCAAGGAAAAAAAAAAGAAAACGTCCGTGTATGTGTGAGAAAAGCAGCTAACAACCTTCAGCGCGCACCAGTCCAAGAGGGAGATTTATTCACAGGAACACACACGAGCACGAGCGCTCCAGAGTGTAGCTGTGGCCTAAACTGCTCATCAGTTAAGTCATCAGCACAACCACACAAACGCTGTTTGACCACACTTGAAGGGTTGCTGCTCTGGAACTGCTCCTCCACTTCTCACTCGCAGCACTGGGAGATAATTTACTGCCGTTTTACACGTTTTACGTACACAGAACATTATGGCTGCTGGAAAAAAACAGCCTGCGGCCTCCTTTACGAGGTCCGCAGGTTAGGCTTCTGCAGCCAAATCCTAAGAGGAAAAGCTGCATTTCACCTGCTGGCTCACTGCCTGAACGTGAACGTGAGATTTTGGTCATGATGTTGGAGTCCTTGTGCGACATTTGTTGCCGGCGGGGTTTGCCGTGCAGCTCATATTCCCACACATGCAGTCCATGCGGGCCGTGTTTGTGTTTGGAATGACGGCGCGTGGCGGCTGAGTTCAAAGGGTGAGGTTTGCTTACCTGTCGATGATGACAGGGTCTGATGGGGTCTCGTTCCTGTTGCCGCAGCTCTTCTTATCACAGCATCGACTGTAGGGGGGGAGGCAGAACAAGGGGGGGAGGGAGGGGGGGCACCGACAAAGGGGAGTTAGTCACCAAGATGTGAACAACAGAGACAGCAAGATAAAGACAGAGCTCAGAAGGGGAGAGGAAGTTAGATGAGAATACAGGAAATAGAAAATGGGGAGCAAAAGGGCGTGAGACTTTTGCGGAGTTCGAGAAAAGACATGGCTTGGATTTCTGTTTAGCTTGGCAAGGTAATGCCACGGCTCGTGCACCGGATCAGCAGAATGATTTTAGGCAAACTTTAGAGGAGGGTAGCATGAGCTGTGAGCCTGAACGGGGCTCGATACTAACTTGAATTAGCCTCCAGGGCTCAGGTTAGCTCCATTTCTGTCAGACATCACACAACCAGACATCTTATGTTCTCTATTTTTCCTCAGCGCTCGTCCCCTCCCTCTATCCCACCTCTCTCTTGCGCTCTTTCTCTCTCTCAGAAGTGGGTCACAGAGTGGTCCCACTGGACCTGGGGAGTAGTGCATGCTGGGTAGAAGGGGGCTGCATACTGATGTGACGAGTCCTCTCTGAATCATTTGACTGCAGCACTGTGAAACAGTGTTTTCTATGCTATCAGCCCCCTCCTCTTCCACCCCCCAAAAAAAGTATTACCACGTCTGCCTTTCCTCTGTGTCTGGGTGTCTTGCCTGGCTATGAATACCTGTGTCTGCCTACATGAGTGCATCTACTGTATATGAGTGGGAGGAAACGGAGAGAGACAACAGAGAGATTGACCCTACCCCTACTTTCTCCAGTCCCTCAGGACAGGAGGCTCGGAGAGCCAGATCAGATTTCTGATCTTGACCGTTTCCTGCAGCCTATGAAAACAAGTGGTCTAAACTGCCTTCTGTGATAACCAGGAAGTGGCTACACTTTGCCACAAGCCATTTCTCTCCATGCAGCAGTCCATGTATTTCTGGTCGGGTGCCTCGCGAGAGACAATCACACACCCGTGTGATCCTTAAATCGATTGCAAATCCATACCACAGCTTGTGAGAGTTTCTCCAGCTTTCTACTTTTGACAAAGTATACGGGAGCGTGTCTGCGTTTTACATGAAATTTGAGTCTGCGTCGTCCCTCGCCCCCTGCACATAGCTCACTGTCAGGACACAGCAAACTGCATGTATTACACCGACTGAGGAGGATGGGTTTGAGTAATGTGCTTTTCCTTGTCCTAATTAGCAGAACATGAGAGGGATGCACACACACGCATATGCACAGAGACATACACACACAACAGAAATAGGCCAGGGCCCATCTCCCCAACCCACTTTGAGGAAAATGAAACGATTTCTATTATAATTTACCAGTGCTCCTTGTGTCTTTGCCCTTCTTTATACCAGCAAAGACACCTCCAAAATGAGAAAAGGATTCATTGTGATGTGTCACGCTGTGTGGTTGGTCTTACCTGCACATGATCTCATGGGTTAACAGGACCCGACACATCTCTGGATTTTTGTCCTGGCCCTCGTAAACAATCGCCTGAAAAACGGACAAGAAAAAAAGAAAATCAGTAAAGTATGAAAATTATTTTTTTGTTTGTGTTTTCCTGTGCTCTGTGCTGAGAGAAAAGAAAAGTCAAGCAGGAAGCACGGCCAAAAAAAAAAGAAAAAAGTGTGTCTTTCATCTGTGAGAAGTGTTTATCTATCTGGCAAATGTGTGTATCGTGGGAATCCAGTCCTCCTGAACAGGAACGCTCTGTTCTGACAGAGACAGTAAGAGAGGAAAATTGTTTGCGTGAGTGAGTGCCTGTGTGTGCTGCTGCATGTGCATATGTGTTTGTGCATGCACGTATGTTTGTATGCTGTGTACAGTGAGCAGTTGGACTGCCAGACTGGAGTATAGTGTACCATCTGGTCCATACAGCGTGGCGTCCAAAAATGTAGTCTGGTTACCCCTCCAACTGCACTCAACTACCCCTCCAACCCCACTCAACATGCTCTCCGGGGCTTGAGCACCCTGCACACACACACACACACACACACACACGCACACACACACACACACACACACACACACACACTCAGACAGACGCTGATAAACATGCTAACACACACTCTCACACAAACAGCATCTCCTCCCACTCTTCACTCTAAGACAAACTCTTTTCTAGCCTAATGGCACTGGAGGCAGAATTGGCAAAATAAAAGACCTGATATCAAAACATTGTTTCGGGGGGCTTTCTTTCGCTGTTGTCTAATTCATCCGCATGGAGAATTCCCTCAGTGTGCGCCAGCTAACATGTGTTGCTCTGGATTTCTTTGTGTGATTGAATTGGCCATAACACACGCTGGGATAGTTTGTTCTGTTTCACATTGAGGAAATGAGGGTCAAGGTCCTCAAAGAGTGAGCTGGCATGCATCACTGTCCAAAAAAAAAAAAAAAAAAAAACTAACACACAACCGCTGCTAGACCTCTCTCAAAATTTTCACACTAAATCTGCACACAATCTTGCTCGCACACAGGCATGCGTACACACACACGCACACACAACCTTGGGTAAAAAAATAAATAAATAAAAAAACACACACACCCTCCCCACTTACTGGCTGCTGTGCAGAGGTAGAATATGAGGACACATGTCCTCTACTTTTCTAGGCCTCTGTAAATGTATTCTACAGGTAAGACAGGTCATTTATCAAGCCGGCTGTGCTGTGCTGAAGTTGAGAGTCTCAGACACAGGGCCGGAGAGGGAGGAGGAGGAGGGGGGGGGGGGGGGGGGGGGGGGGGGGGGGACAGGAAGAAAAAGGAGGGTGGTGGTAGTTTGACTTGACTCTGGGGTACCATTCAAACCAACACAACCACAGAGCAAAAGCGAGCTTGAAATTCTTAAAAAAAGTTTAATGCAGGAGGCTCTTACCTGTTTAGTCATGGAGTCAATGAGCCGAACATACAAGTCCTGCTCTGTCCGGATCCCTGCAGACAGAGAGGGCTGTTAAAATGTAGTTTTGCATTACAACTGAGGGAAAGCTCGACCCACATGGGGATCTTTTAGAGCACATGATATATTCAGTCTGATTTCCCCTGTGAGGCACTTCACGAGAACTATGAGTCCAAAGTCTCATGAATAACTTTCAGTATTAGTTACATACTGACAGTTTGGTTGTTACTTGAAATTCTATTTACTGTCTTTAAAGTCATTACTGACCGAAAACTGAGGGAAAGCTCGAAAAAAAAGAAAAGAAAAAAAGAGCACACACGCAATTTTACATTTCAGTTGAAATTTGAAAAAAGAACATTCAGTAGAATATACTCACGAAATAAAAAACAAAAGGCTAGTCATGCAATTTTTTGTGTTATTTTTGTTTATAACTCTTTCTAAACTTTACTGAGGAAAACTAAAAAAATATGTTTTTTACACTTTTGTATCTTGTTAAAATGTGAATAATTATATAAAAGATTTGAAAGCGAAATAAATATAAGCACTGCCCTTTAAATAACAAAAATTGCAAGTTTCTAAAATAAGGATCAATGGGCTGAGCATCCAAAATATTTCTTTCCGGAGTTTCCTCACTTTGGTTTGACGTATCATTCTCTCACTGCTTTTGTTATTGCTCCATAAAAAATATGGAAGCCCGACTCACCGTTACTGTAGAGGAGCTGAAGTCTATAATGGATCCCATTGTTGGTCTTTTCCCCCGTCGTTTCCTATGAAAATTAAACCAAACAAACCCGGTCAGAGAAGGCATTCCATCTCCTCCTGGGACCTTTATTGCGGGTGAACAACTTGGCAGTTTTAGATAACAAACACGTGAAGTCTCACACTGTGATCTAAATCAAATCACTCCACTTCGGTTTCTTATGACAGGGAGAAAGTCATTTTTATGATAAAATATAGAGTAATATAAGCCCTTTCATTTATTTTTTATATTTGCGAAATAAATAAACATCTTCAACGCAGTAATTATATCAACTTACGTGGCACTTTGTAAATGTCACTATGAATTTGATCAATTAAAAATGTCTAATTTAATAAAACATTCCAAATATTGCTTATTTCCAATAAATATCAGCGCAACGGCGAAAGGTCATAATAAATAATAAACAAGTCGATAGTAAATGTAAATGAATCTCAGCAAATATTAACAAGGTAAATGGTCACTTTTAACGCCAGTTGCAAATAAATAAATAAATAAATATTATATCATATCGGTGAAGCGAAGACCGGGGTTGCTTTTTTGTTTAGAAGAGAACTAAACATATTGACTTCCACAGGCTGCACGCTGTGCCACAACAAATAAAAGCCAACCAGAGGAGCGGCAAGAGAGTTCAAAAGTTAACACTAATGATACATTAATCCAAGATGCATTAGAGGGATTTCGTAATGATCGTAATTATGAATCAAAAGCTAATTATTCCATTAAAAAAAATCTAAAGTCTGCGAGTCTTTGAGGATATCACATTAAAAAAAAAAAATCACATCAGGGTAGCTTTGAGGACCAACGATCCCCGCTGTGTGCGTCTGTCTGCTCTGTTAACACACGTCTGGTGATTTATCACTTGGACTTAACAAGTCTGTGCTGTCGGTCGATGCTCCGCGGAGACGGAGGAGCGCTCATTTCCAAGATTTGCCTCCAGACGCACGTGCCGACAGAAGCTGGCCGTACATTGGAATTCTTTTATTTTTCCATCTGAACTCACCTTTTCTTTCTCCACAAAGTCAATGAACGTGGTCCTCTCTATTTCCACCGGCTGCCCCTGCCTGTCGTACAGAGCCAGGACGAAGTGGAAGAAGTTGGACTTGCGGAGGTTGGACGGCGGCTGCTTCTCGAAGTGAGCCCGCGCGAGCCCCACTCCGCTGCGGACACAAGCACAAACCAGCGGGACCCCCCCCCCCAGGACGGCCGTTAGAGCAAATCCACCCCATAAAAGAGCAGCAAATCACTGAGCTGTGCGCTTAAAGTTCACATTTAGCCCCGCTCCGTTTCTACTAGAATTTGGCAATAAACGCAATTTATAACAAGGGTGACGCATAAGCATTTTTATAATTGAAATAAATTAAATCTAAAAATAAAATTAGAAATATCACTAAAACAATAACATTGACGTTGCAGCTGTATTTTAGATAGGAAAACGGATCTTTAGGCCTCCTGTTCATAATGTAGTTCAAATTCTAAACTTGTCCAACTGGATTAAAACTGCACGATTTTGTTCAATTTTGCAAGAAATTCCTGCATTAAAAGCATGCCAGCGCTTCCAAACTTTAAAAAAAATAAGTCTTGTTTGGCTTAACCAGAGCTTTAAAAAAAAAAAGAAAAAAACACACACACCGTGACTTGAAAACTCCAAGCCTAAACTCCAAGCTTACTTTTCAAGCCAAACTTAACCGATAAGCCTACATTTTAGTGCAACGTGCAGAAGAAAAGAAAAATAACCCCAAAGAGTTATCTCAAATCAGAGGAAGCGCGTTGGACCGCATCAGGTGCTTTTTAACCAGTCGGACTGGAAGCAACAAACTTAACGCGCCAGCGGGACCGGAGCTTATCCCACCCGTCCTCTGGGGAGGCATCGTGCCCCAAGTGAGATCGGGTGCTCCGTTTTTCGCGCTGCGGATCACAGACCGGTGTCTGAGAGCGCGCCCCGGGCTCACCTCTGCGCGGCCGTGTTGGCGTCCAGCACTCCGGCCCCCTGCATCCATGTCCGAACCGCGTTCATCCCGGCCACCATGGGCTCCTCTTTCATACTACTCCCACTCCTCTGGATGCTCTCGTGGATGCCAAACATCAAAACGCACCTTCACGCACAGTCTCTCTATCTCTCTCTCGCGCGCTCTCTCCCCCTTCTGTCTCTATCCTCCTTCTTCCTTGGCTCCCCTCCTTTTTTCTCTCCCTCCCCTGCCTCCCCTTCTCTTCTTTGCGTGCGTTTGATCGCGCTGTCACAGACGCAAAAGTGGCGTGGTATTTCGCTTGGGTGTTCACAGACGCGCGCGTGCCTCTCAAAGTAAACAAAAGATGCGACACGCGGAGGGGGAAAAGGGGAGCTGTCAGCATCCAGGGGTTAGCTGCACCTCATGTCAGCGACTCCGCGAGAAAAAGACGCGGAAGAAAAAGCTATGAAGAAGAACGGTGAGAGCGATGAAAGGGGAAGCGCGTGCAGGATGAGAGGCTGCGCGGAGTTGGCGACAGTCCCCCGGATCAAGGTGCAGCTGAAAAAACACAGGCAAAATGTCAGTTTCTTTTCACAACAAACAGTCCACAACCGGAGGAAAACCCGAGGAGATGAAAAACGTTTCGCCCTCTCCTTCTTCGCTCCGCGGCTTCATTTACAAAGTCTTCCTCCCAAGCTCAGGCGAATCAAACGGGAGATTACGCACAATTAGGAGACAATCCTGCGCTCCCGTCAGCTCCTGCGCGGGTGATTTGCGCTCCTTTTCTTCCCTGAGGAATCACTTTGGACCATCTCTGGGATGCCAAACAGGGGGGGAAACTAGTAGGTGAGGGAGGCGTGTCTTGGGGAGGAAGGAGAACGCCCTCTAACGCGGCTAATAGCGCGGACAATCAGCTGTCCACCAACCCGACCGGCACGCTGCCCGCCCCGCCCGCGCGCTGTCCCCGCCTCGTCCCGGGAACCGTCCCGCCCCAGCCAGGAGCCGTGCGCGGCACGCTGATGTGTGTGCGTGTGTGTGTGTGCGCCGGCTTTGTGTCGGTGTGCGGCTTGTATAGCCGGCAATTAATGTAGGTCCTCGCCACAAATGAACATCAACTCATGGGGGGACATTATTTAAAGGGGAAAAGTGAGGAGACGACAAGGAGTGGCTGGAACATCCCTCCTGATCCTGCCCGCATCAGCCGGGAGGGAAAAAAGATCAAATGTCTCACCAAGTATCAGATAAAAGTTGTTATTTTTGTGAGAAAAAAAACGCATAGAAGAAATAAACTATAGAGGAAACTGCGCGGAATTAATTGTGTTTACTTTCCTGTCGTTTAAGTGTCGAATCAATTCAAGATCAGCAACGGAAATCACGATTTAACAATGACAGAAAAGACTATCAAAAAAATCTAGGAAGATATACAATGTTGGGTTTTCTCGCAAGAACCGAATAAGCGTCGAGGAGTCCAAGTGCTCATTCAGAGTATCAGCTCCGGGAGATTATGAGCTTAAGAAAGTTTCATCTCACCAAGAAAGCCTGGCAGTGGCCGCTGCGCACATTTTTTTTTCTGTTACAGCCCGTTAGTTTTGAAATGAGCTTTGACTGGATGCATTACATAAATCTTATGGGACTAAGTGCTGAATCCAACATAAATACGCGGATTACTTGCTAAACTGCGCTGCGCTGTCCAGAAAAATGTGCAATCGCTCAAAAATAACTGCACAAAAAACAAACAGAGGAAAAAAGTGTTGGGAAAAAAAAAAGCACGGTTGCTCACAGAAGCGTGGAAACGCGCAGAAAAAAGCCAGTGCGCGAAGTGAGAGCGTTGGATGTCCTGTTTCTCATCACCGTTCCTCAGTCATCAGACCCACTTCGCAAATCCTCATGTAATGTTTGAGACGTTCTATATTGTTTTTCTACACATACTTTAACAGAAAGAATAGGAAATTTGCTTGCGGAGGGTCAAGCTCACGAAAAAAAGCGCTAAATATAAACCATATGCGCAATTTGGGGACATTTTAGAATGATTTGTTTGGAAGTCAAAACACTAGTTTAGTAGCTAGAAGACTGCTTGCGGGGTCTGATGGATGCCACAAACGGTCAAGGTTAGACATTAGCACCCCTCCCCACCCCAAAAAAAAAATCCTCGTCATTCTCTGCAGTTATTTGTCTTTTGCTATCGGTGCGCGCTATAATATACAACAAAATGATGTCTATACGCGAAGTGAGATTTAAAACCAATGTTTGTCCCACTTCAACTCCACTCAGCCTGACTCTGTACCAAGCAGGCGTGCACACGCGTGCACACACACACAGACACACACACAGACAAGCACACTGTCCACAGCTATCCTTCAGCACATCGGTTTGATTGAGGTTGGCCCTCGTTCTGATCTGTCTGCCTGGGCCGGCATGCTGGCCAACGCGAACACTGGAGGCCTCTGGGGTGGCATATATTTATATCCCCGCGCAGCGACACACACACACACACACAAACACACACAAACACACACACACAGTCACAGACACTGTTAGTCCAAATATCCCCGTCTCAGGATCCAAAAACGGAGATGTCAGGTGGGGCCTAATGTTCCAGGGACTCACTCACTCTACGGTAGCAAGGCATAAGGTGCGCAAAATATCTCTGATCATTACGCTCACGCGGGAATGCGCAAACCATTTCAACGACGCAAAGGTGTGTCAGATCGTGCGCACGGAAAGCCGCGCTCACATATGGGCGGTCTATTAAAATTCCCCGTCATACATTTTAAAGTAACCGATGGGGAAAGGAGTTGTAAGGCGCTCCGGTGCGCCCACCAGATGTTCCCGTAAATCAAAAGGTTGGGCCGATGATAATAATGGTCTGATTGAATTGAAGCCTCATAAAAAAAAATACCTACTTGTAAAAATCCGGCATATGCTTATGAGAATAGGCCTTCTGTCTGTCAATATGCTCTCTTGTCGACATGAAAGGAGACTGAAGCATTGAGGAACTTGAATTAGTGCACGGCATTAAACTCAATTACGTTACTAAACATGGGGAAAGTGTGGGCTACTTTACGGATTAAACCAGAGGCTGAACATTTGAAATATATCCCGGATACATTTTGCGTGGTTTGCATTTGTAACTCCTTCAACATCTTTCCAATCACAGCTTGTCAGGCTGTGGCTCTTTCACACATAAGAGAGGCAACGTGGCCATCTAGCGACACCACAGAGACATTACAGGTTGGAACATCCAACATTTGAAAGTCAGTTTTCCAATCAAAGGTAGCAATTTGCATGGTAAATAGCTTGGAGATGACCACCATCTGTGCGTTGCGCTCATTCTCCGTCCTTGGCAGTCAGCAGAGGCAGACCAGGGAATGAAACTGTGGGCCCTCCAGAGAAAAACGTGAACTATGATAGGCTACATCAGAATAATAACTGTTTACACAAAGATGATATTAATTCAGCACATGTTCAACGCGAAAAACAAAACCAAAAATACAGCACACCTGTTAGAAGAAAGGACTTCAGAGAAAGGGAGTGACACCGGTCAGTGATACTCCCTGCTGTCCCAGTACCTTTTATTTACAGGTAGGCTACATGCTGTCTTCAACTGCTTTACTAAAATCAACTACACAACTGTCTCTGCGTAAAAACGCTTCTGCGTAAAAACGGAGGTTCGCCGTGACGGAATCGGAAAGTTTTGTCTCATGGCATCTGCTTTGTGTCAACGCACTGATCGTAAACATGGCCCCATGAGGGGATTAATAGAGAAACTTTCGTCAAAATGTTTCTTTGTAATTGAATTATTCTGTTTTGAACCGTCTTATGTTTTGTTTTTAGCGCCTCACTGAGCTACCACTGCGCATGGCTAATGGATGTATTTTGCTCTTCCAAAAGAACAGACAAGCAGCAGATGTGAGAAGTGAAATGTGTAATTGCCTTCAGAGGGATTTACCTAAGACTTTCAACAGGCAGTTTTGATCCCCCCCCCCCCCCCAGTTCATGTAGAATGACTTATTTATGAACAGAAAAAATGTATATGTTAGGGCAGAGGGAAATTTATTAAATTTCCTGGACAGTTATTTTCACAATGGCTTCAAAAACATCTGTATTCTTTTTGATTTACCACTTAGTAACTAAAAGCATTTGGAATGGCCCTCTATTTATTAATATTTTTTCATGCTTAATTTGAAATCATGTGGATTTTCACCTTTTCCGCATTTCAAACAGACCATTATTTGCTGTTGCATTCATGTTAATTTTTTACCCATTTGCACCCACTCCGATTACCCCTCAGGATATATTTACTTTACCACTATGATATCATGGTAAAGCACAATTTCAAGAAATCCCAGTGATTTTCAATGTGCAATAAAAAACTGAAAAATGTATGAGGAAACTTGCATATAAACCTGGTTCCAGGTTGTGACTCAAATAGAGCATGAAGAGCCACTACAATGAGGCAAAGTGGGTGAATGCCATCATTTCCCACTAAATTCAACACCACAGTCCTAAAATGGCTAGTTTGATTTAGTTACTTCAGAAACACGTACGTCAGTGGTCAGTACACACACACTATATATGTTTTTTAAAGCTGCTTGCTTTGTTATATGTTTAATCTTGAGTACTCACCATAACTCTCAGTGTCAAATGGTGAAGTGTCTAATTACTTCCTGTTTATGTAGTTTGTCTTCATTTGTGAAATCACTGGAAGAGACCAATGATAGGGAAGATCTTGGTCCTTTTTAAGTTAAACAAATCATAAAATTAGTTAAAATTTGTCTTAATTTTCTTTGTTGTTTTATGGTTCAAATTGCTCACTTTTTTGTTTTAGGTATATCTTAGAATTATTTTAAAAAATAGTAACTGTACTGTACAATGGAAACCTTCAGAGGACAGACTCACCATTAGGTGGAAGAGTCCATTTGGGGAGGATTCCCAGCTCTTTAATAGCTGACCTTTGTTTCATCAGAGGTGCAGGGGTGGATTTAGAGTTTGGAGCTGACTGCACAGAGGTCCATGTATGTGGCATACAATACATTTCACAAAGAAACAATCAACAGTGTTTATAGGTGTTCTTCACACATTTTCGACCCTTTACATATTTAAATGATATAATGTTTTGCAGAACTTCAGGCTGATTTTATCTTTTTATTCAGAAAAAAGAGAAATGGGAGAAAAAGGATGTGCCATCATGGCCTGACAGTTTAAAAAAGATTAAATCTGTTTACCAGAATGATGAATACTGAAGCCCAGTGTCATTATGATTTTTTCCCCACCTGTCAGAGGGCTTTCCATTTGCTATCAGCCTATGTCATCATAAAGTTACTGAGGCCTCTGACAGGTGACACCATTCTTTTAAATGCCCTTCAAATCTGGAGAGCCAACCGTGCTGCGTTTACTGACAGCTGTTAGAAAGAAACATGCGTTTCCATTGTTGTCTTTGACCTACCTTAATCAGTGGCATGTGTGACTTTTGTGAATGAAATGACACAAAGTAAGGAGCTCAAGTGACAGTTATATGATTTTTAAATAAAAATAATCCAATTGAATAAATTTGAAACTCTTGATTTTTTACCTTAAAAAAAGCCGAAAATAAAGCCCAATATATCTATTGCTACTGCAATCTTTATTGATTTTTGTATATTTCCTCACCTAAACACATAATTGATCGATTTATTCTTTATGTATATATATATATATATATATATATATATATGTCATATACATGTTTACAGTAAATGGCCAATTCAAGAAGTTGTTAGAAACTTCTCTTTCAGATTGAAATCACTGTTCCAAGAGACTGGAAGCTGAATGTATTTCCCAACAAATGTGTCAGATGCCCTCTGTAACATTCAGTTCAATAAATCATCAAAGGTCAGGAGTGTCTGATTAAAGCGCTCATGGTCTGTCAGCCTCGAAAGTGCTTATGTCACTAAGCCTCTTCTGCTTTTTATGACAGGGAAGTGAGGAGAGAGCTCAAATCTCCTGACCAAATAAGTAACTTGTCAATATAGAATAGATTAGAATCACCACTCTCTAGGTGTGATGCTGCTCAGTTGGGCTTTTCTGACATGTGACATGGAAAATTGTTGAAAAATGCACCATTGTACTAAATCTTTCAGCAAATATATTGGAATTTTTGGGTTTGTGGCTGAAAGTGAACCAAATTACTTAAGTAATGGTTTAGTGCACTCCTTCTTTTGTTCTTTATACACGTAAAAATTCCCCTTTCAGAAAAAAAGCCATAGAATCATAAGTCAGCACCCTTCTCCAAAACGTACAGGGATTCAATAACTGAAGAGATAGCTGGGGTTAGAGAATTACAAATCAGAAAATGCACCTCTTATTTGTTTCTTTTATCAACAGTATTTTACTTTATAACTTTGCAAGATGTCTTGATCAAATGCTAACTATTTATCCAAAACTCCGTGAGGGGTGTCAGGCTATTGAGAAAGAGAATAGAAACATAAAGAGACGATAACAAATATCTACTTTGTGGATGCTCATACCTCGATGCTGGTGCAATGATCACTAGAGTTAAAATCTTTAATATAAAAAAATCAACATTTTTCAATCTAATTTGTTTGGTTTTCTCTATCATTATGAATTAGGAACTAACATATGAGACAACTCAACCTCTACAGAGCTCAATATTTACTGTTGTACTTCCTAACACACTCATTACTCATCAAACACTTCACCGTGTGGCCATAACCTTTCGATAAGTACTCATAAAATCATGCTTCACTTTATCATTAAGCGCAATAGATTAATGAACAGAGATGCTCAGAGTAAACTGTGATTAACAGTGTCATCCATATTATTGATTTGTTGAGTAGCGTGAGTGATTACATGCACATACAACCCCACATTCATTTGTTGTTGAGGCCTTTCACTCAGTCATGTTACCTCACACTGCTGGGAGACCACAGTCTCATTTCTATTCTATTGTTAACCATATGGGTTTTAAGTCATGTCAATTTAGACATTGTAAAAATAAGGCCTGTCTGCAACTCTATCGGTGTTTTGTCATTCGAAACGGATACTGAACATAAATAAATCAATCAGACAAATGCTGAATAAATTAAATGTTCCAGATTAATTATTCAAGGTGTATCAGACAAAACGTGCTGCTGCTGTTAATGAAGCACATCATGAAAATGAATTGTCTACTGAAAAAACAAACAAGCAAAGAAAACCACCAGGACTTTTCCGGTGAATGTACATCAGGGTCGTGGCAAATTTGAATAACATGCACCAGATTATTTTTATAATTCTAATGACACAGGTTAAAATCCACCTTTAAGGGTTAAGTGCTGATGAAGTGAATTTGAAAGAAAGGAAAATGACTCTGCAAAAATGTCCTTTATTAATTGATCAAGTGATTAAGTTAAGATATATATTGCAAACATCATGTTGCTTCAAAACACACAGAACAGTAACATGTAACATCTGTCAGATGTCCAATGGTGAGATGGCACTCTTGGGCTAGTCCTCTTTTAGTTTCGCCTCAATCTGCAATGATAAACAAATTATGGGAAAATTATTTACACACATATCATCTTGACTCAACTTTTCATCTTTTTTTGCATATTGTATGGAAATGGACACACACGCACACAACTACACACACACACACACAGCGATACACTGTTGTAGAAAGGAGAAGTACAACAATGTGGCAAAAGGCCGCAGTCTCAGGGTTGGCATGCACAGTATGGAACACTGGGAGGATGAGCGCCATATGACAAAGAAAAACTCCCAAAACAAACAACAAGAACAACAAAAAAAACCACTGAGGGTAATGGGAAAGCATTTCAGCCGGAAAAGAAAACACGTAACATGAAATGTCGCGGTACGAACTTTAGATGGCTCCACTCGCTCCATTGTGAGTTGCAGAATGCGTCTTTGGCTCTCACACACACCGCCTTAGCCTTGCTCTTCACTCTAAACTGGCAAATGTCTGTGACATCGTTTGTCAGGGTCTAGAAAGTGAACACCACACAAAAACGGTGAAATGATGTTTGCCGTTAGCTCCTCCTCTTGTCTGTTGTGTGGGATTTCTGGTCATGTGACACAGACGTTTCACTGCAAAGTCTAACAGGACTTAATTGTTTCGCCTCCATCTTGGTTGGTTTTCTGTAAACCCTACTTCACAGTCTGGAAGTTCTCCTTACCATTGATGGGTTTGAGTCAGAGCATGGGTTGCCACACTTTTTGCACTGACTCTTGAGTTGTGTGACCTGGAAGGTGAGGGGGAAGTAAGAGTAGGGCCTGTTCCAGGAGCTGGGGTAACTCCACTGCACCACCGTTTTGTTGACTTTTCCGATCCTCACCTTGTCTGGTTTCACTGACACGGGGGGAAGCAAATCACAGAGCCCGGTGAAAAGAGAGATTGGTTACATACATATTTATAAATAAAGAGTTCTAAAAACATGTCCTACCTATCTCTGACAAGAAAAATAGTTTGGAATAGCTCTCCAGTAGGTAGTGCTTAGTCCTCATGTGGACGGTGATAAAGATCTGCTGGATCTCCTCGGCGTAGGGGCAGTGTCTTTCGTCCCAACAAGAGATGCTCTGGCCATCATCAACCAGAGAACAGCTGAAGTTACTCTCAGCTGAAGAGCATTTCCATTGTCGGCCACTGGCGTCCGTAGAGCACTGAGTCTTGTTCTCATCAGATGCACTGAAAAGAAATAATTCAATTCATTCAGATGGTGTACCAGATGCCAGGAAGCTGTAACAACCAGACAGTATCATGTAACAGCACTTTCATAAATCATTCACCGGACAAAAATGTGATAATTTCCTCCAGTTTTTGTTTACGACATTATAAATGCTTTTCTTCTCGAGAAGACATTCATGGACGTGTCTACTTGGCCACATGGGTGTGGACGGCGTCACGATTAGAAAGCGGAACAGAAAACGTCTCGGTGGTCTGGGAGCTTACCGGTGTACTTTCACAAATGCAACTTTTACAGCGCGACTGCTGTGCCAGGTCCAAGAGCAGTGAAACTCTCCGCTGTAACTCTGAGCAGAGCACTTCAGGTAATCTTAAAAAAGAAATCAAAGAAAAACAGACAATGAAGCGGCAGGACTGGTTTGAAATGAGCACAGCTTTGGCAGGCGTATCCCTGAATGAGATCACACCTTTCTCTGTTTTCACAAGGATCCTCCTCCTTTTGGTGTCCACCAGCCGGATCAGGACCTCAGTGTAATTAAGGAGCGATCCATCCTTGCTGTGGCATGTGTAATTTCCCCCCCCTTTACTTTCTAGTAGCCTTATTGAGTGGACATTCCCCCTCTGGACCTGCTCTACTTCATTTATCTTCCAAACAATGTCCTGATTCTCAGCTGGCCCTCTCAGAAGCTCATCTGGGAACTCCAGGCAGCTGAGGGGATGCTGGCTCAAAGTGCCATCCACGTCCAGAACCAAAACTAGCAGAAGACAAATTCACACACAGAGGTTTACATGAAATAAAAAACACGAGGCCGGAGCAACGCATTCACGGTACTGACAAACATACCGTTAGGTAGCAGAGTCCGGTGGCTCTGAGGATTTTCGGTTATGACATGTGGAAATGCACATATGGTGATGAAAACAAACAACTTCATCTGAATGACGAAGAGAAAATAATAGTACATTACATCTCCAAATAAAGAAAGTACCAGTGAGATTTACAAGTACATAAATTCCTAAATGAAATAAATATTTAGTTAACAGTAAAAAAGTCAGTAAAGTCATGCCATGCTACCCTTAAGTCATTCTTTAATACACCAATTAATCTTGATATACAACCATGATTAAAAAATCTGCAGAATTAGTGAACAAATCAGACAAGAGCCTTCTTACCTTGCCAATAACTCCCAGGTTGAATGGCACTCCTTTCATTTTATAGGACTTTCATAGAACTAGTTCCCCAAACTGACAAGCCTAAAAAATTCCAGAGGAAATTAACTTTCCATCATTTAGAGGAGCAGAAAAATTCATTCATACATTATTCACTTCCTCTCATGTGTCAGTAACCAGGCGTGATTATTTTTTTTCTGGTTCTAATTGTTACAAAATGAAGTGAATGCTTTCTTTGGTTTATGCCATGCTGTCATCATGCCGGCAGCTATTAAGTACAGCAAGGCAGGATGCTTTCATTTCCCTTTTGTTTTCATTTTGCTTTGGACCTTTGGTTGTCATTACACAGCATTGTACTGGCTTTAAACATTTTCAGTCAACTTGAGAGTCCCCAGACACACCTGGGGTTTTTCCTCCAGGGCAAACAGAAACTCCATGATGCAATGAAACATAGCTATACGATTAATAATTAACCAGTATATCAAATAGTGCAGCAACTTACACACAGGTAACTAATTAGATTTATTTGGTTTTAGAGGTGCTATTATTATTATTATTATTATTATTGTTATTATTATTATTATTATTATTATTATTATTATTATTATTATTATT